CGCCTCGCTCAGCCAGTGAGCGGGAACCGGTCTGTATGTGGGATCCGAACCCTCGGCGGGAGCGCCGCCACACTTCCCAAGCGGCGCACTGTAGCAGTGCGCCACCGGGCCGGCCCATCCTTTCCTTTTTTCTCTTTTGTTAGGAAGGTGAGGTTGTTAGCCTTTTTTTGTTAGGAAGTGCATCTCAGCAGCAATTCCCAATTGCCCACCCCTTCGTGCCCTAATTTTGTCAACGTGAAAAACAGGAAGGTGTCTGATTTAAATTGCAATCCCCCACTACCCTTTGCCAGATTGTCTGGGTTCCAGGGATGGACCTGCACTTCCCGCCAGAGACTCTGAGGTGGGCACGCCAGGGGGGCGTGGATGAGCAAGCCAGGCAGCCCTCAGGAAGAAGCTGCTAAGTCCAACACCAAACCATATCAAGCCCACCTGCCCCTCATTCTACTCGCCACACCCTGGGAGCACCTGATAGGCTAAGTGTTGGAGGGTTCCTGCATGCCTGTGGCCACCCAGCCACTCACTTCTCCAGAGACTCATCCTCCCACCCGGCACAGCCCTTGGCCATCTGTCCTGTGATATGCTTGCCATGGCTTCATGATTTCTCGGTGGTGGCAGGGCTCTGTGGGACGAGGGCAGAGCCGTGGAGTCTGTGGGAAACTCAGTGGCAGTCACTGCCCAGGTCCAAACCCTGGCTCTACCCTCTACTAGCTCTGTGACTTTGCAATAGTTCCCTAATCCTTTTGGGCCTCCGTTTCTAAGATACTACCTGTCTGGGCGCTCAGAGCAGTGGCTGGCACAGAGTGAGTATGGTCAACATGTGACTGTTGATGGAACCCCACAACAGGTCTGGGGGAGGCTTCTGGCATGTCAGGCTCCTTCCTTGGAACTTGGCCCCATGTGTCAATGGGGATGGGGGGGCTTGTGGTCCCAGGATCCCTTTGGCTCTGAACTTCTAGGTGGCCATCGTTGTCTCTTGATACCATGGGCCCTGCTGTGGGCATCCCCAATGGTGAGAAGGGACTTGGGCCCCTCCCCACCCAAGGAGTCAAGCACTCCAAGGCTACCTCTTCTGCTGTCACAGGTCACCTCTGGGGTCAGCACAGGCTTGGGGGTGGGTGTTTGTGATTGTCCAGAATCCCGGAAACCCA